TTTTTTTTTTTTTTTTTTTTTTTTTTTATTAGTTGGTGCTGTAGTCTTTTTAATAATGTCCCAGATAATGATAGAGAGTTAAACGAACTGGCAACAGGGGCCTGTTTCTACAACAAATATTTTTCGATCTCACGAAAGATCGAAATCTACAAAATTCAATAACAGACGTTTCCCGGAATTTTTTGATACGACGTTTGTTTCCGAAACTTCTTCCAAAGAAAATCTCAAAATAATCGTGAAAAAAATATTCGTGGAGTTTAGATTAATTTTCTGGCTGATAAAGGCGTGTGCTCCTGCCATTATACAACAGTCAATCAGTCAATACACAAATATATTGCATCATTAAGCTCCTGAACATTTCGAGATATTTTTAAAACAGTTAAGATTAAACCGTTCTTCAAAAAAGACAATAAGTATGAAATTCAACTTTCCTTTTGTCAGTTTTCTCAAAATTATTAGAATGACTTCTACGTATGAATGAATGGGAACATTTCTCAGTAAATACATTGTCGGATTGCCAACATGGGTTTATAAAATCAAAATCTCCGGAAACAGTCATATTTTCTTTTCTTAATGTATCAAATGAAGAACCACATTATTTGCTTACCTTTCCGGTACTTAAGTTACTTGTCAATTAAGCACAGGGTTAAATTTCCCGTAGGGCTTAAGCGCCATTTTCTTAAAAACGGGAAAAGGTTTTACTGTTCTTTAATATTCATAAAATAATACTTCATTTCTATTATTAGGAAACAGAAAAGTTAAGAATTTAAAAAAAAAAAAATGTACTTTGGGTGGTGTTAGATGGCAATTGGCAAGAGTATGTGGTAAGTTCATATAGCTGGCCGAGACCAAAGGAAATAGAAAACCAACACGGGAAAGTCTGTGCCATTCTTTAGCACCAATAGTTCTTAAGTATATTAATGATATTAGTACCGAAATTTGATGGACAATCAGACTTTCGCGAATGACTGCATCATCGAAAAATTACAGACAAATTCAACATTACACAAAATTCCTGAGGTACGTAGTTGTAAATATCTGGCTGTAATAATTCGAAGCGACCTCAGCTGGGCTGATCAACCACAGAGAAAGCTTGGGAAGCTCTTCATTTTGTTATGCGCATTTTTTTATGTATTTTATTAGCTAACTGTCCACCCCATTAAGCCAAGGGCCTCCTGCTTGAGCAGGAAATTATTAAAACTTCTTTCATGAAGTGAGAGGATGATATGGGGTGAAAAGACTATCACAAATACGTCCATGCCCAAGGCGGGATTCCAACCCGCCATCCTTCGATCCGAGATCGCCAGGAAACTGCTGCCTTAGCGATCTCGTCTACCCGGAATGGCATACGCATATTACGAAAAACTAACTGTAACATGAAAATGTAGCTTACATATTTTTGATTTGTCCCATAATGGAATGCTGAGTAGCTTTCTGGAATGCTCGAAAGGAAGGTCAGGTTAAAGGATTAAACAGAGTGCAGAAAAAACCGGTTGCATTCACGAATACAAACAACGGGACAAATGTCAAATAGGAAACTATATTTACAAGTAGAGAAGCAACACGACTGTATGCCCTCTTCAAGGCTTACACAAAACCACTGGCATCGAAAGCAATCAGTGGAAGACTTGCCTCCTGCCGAAAATACATTCACCTTCCTTTCGTTTTCCACTACAATTCCAATTTTGAACCCTCCAATCTCATCACCTGAATCTACTTTATTTCTAAACAGCATAACATATCCGATTTCCATCTCCATTTCCGGAAATAATAATAATAATAATAATAATAATAATAATAATAATAATAATAATTTATCACTGCAAATAAGCTTATGCTCGCTGGCAATTAATGAAAAAGAAAGTAGAGAAATATGTTTAAAAGAAATAATACATACAAATATTAAAAAAGATAAATAATAAAAATAAACAAATCTACTACTTTGTTTCCATCTCTTCATTTCACAGCATGTTTTTGTAACCAGTAATTTATATATTTATATATATATATAT